ATTGCCGCCAAGAATCCCGATCTGTTTGACTCGTCTATGACACAGATGCCCCAAGCGAAGGAGAAGGAGATGCCGATGGCTATGGTAGCCCTCGTGGGTGCAGCGGTATGTAGCGCGACTGCATTGACGCTATGCTTGTTGATGTCCCCTCACCATAGATTCATGCCGCTCTCAGCGAGTGGAAAACCGGTGTGCACAAACCGAAACCATTCTCAGCTGATGCCGTTGCAGATGCATATAACGAGCACATCATCCTCCTTACCGGCATCAAGAACAAGAACCTGCGCGCATATCATGCCATGATGCACCGCCTCTATCGGGAGGCTAGGTACGGTCATAGATGATGTATCATATCGTGTTTGCTAATAAAAAATCATCACTTTCTAGTGGTATCACTCCGGTCCCTGTCCAGGCTATCGCAACTGGAGGCGACGCACTCGAGCATATCGACTTCGAGGGCATGGATATCGACTAGATGTAGCGTCCCTCCGCAGCATTATACCCCCTCTATACCCCTCTCGGTCTCTCCCACCCGTATCCCCGTTCCTGTTTTCCTTCATTCGTTTAAAGCGTCCACTCGTTGACTCTGCCTGTCCTTACTCGGCTTATGCTAGTTTCATGGTTTCCGGCGCGGCATTTGAGCACTGCCTGTCGCGCTCGTGCCTCCTTCTCTCATCCCATCTCATCCCCCTACTGGCACATATACCCACATGTAGTACCTAGCGTCATCTCTGGCGCATCAGTTACATGTCATACCGGTGTCAGTTGCATTGCGTCGTATAGCAGTCGAGAATAATGAGTATAATGTTGTTCTCGCAAACCTCTAATGCGTGATAATTTGTGTGATTAGACCCGCGTTACCGTGGGATTAGTGACCATTAGAGCATGCTACTAATCCAGAAATATGTGTGTACTAACAGCACTATCGCCCACTAATTAGCTGGGGACTAAGCGAATTAGTATAATGCCCTAATGGCCCTAATTATGGGTAATTAGGGCCCATTCGCGTTTCGGGTTTTTCCTGATGCAGGACGAACCGTTAGTGATTCTCTGGAGAATACAATAGTGCAGCCATTCGACCTAACCTGTGCTATGTCAGTACATGACGCCAACAGCAAATCAATGTGAATACCAAGCGAGTCAGTAGCGTCAATGCTTCGGGGCCGCGGTAAATCCTCATCGGCACCGGAGCCAGCGAACCGACACGTTGACTCTTCTCCCTAAGCCCAAGCAGTTACTTAAACAAGAGCGCCAAATACCGACATGTCGGTTGGAGTCACCCCGCTCCGCTCTGCGGACTTTGTCCGGGACCCGAGCGCCCAGAATGCGGTTTCGAGCTCCCAGGTGATGGAGGCTGAGAACGGAGGACGGGCTCGTGAGCGCGATTGAGCGACTAGCGGGAACTTATGTTATCAACGAGTCTCGCGAGGAAAGGGAAAATAAAGGCATTCGTACATACAAGTAGATAAGAGTGGGCAGCGTGACTTGGAAGACTGTATAGTGATGGGGTATGTGGTCGCGGGATGTTCTAGGCACAGAAGAGAGGCGGTTGAGCTAAGGTGTCGGAACGCGTAAATTTAGCAGCGAGTCACCTCGCAAGGGTTACAGCCGGGGAAGAGCGCGGTCTCCAGTACTAATTCGCCCCCACTTCAATCTCGTTAGGCCCCGTTTGGCAACCGGGATGGGAGTGGGAGTGGGCTGGGATTGCCCGCCAAATCCTTCGTAGCCGCCCATTGATGCATCAGCAAATGTGCGAAACCGTGCCAGCGGCAATACCACGCGTGCCGAGAATTGTAACGCCAAAATTGGCAAGCAGGGAATTGGAATACATAAGCTTGCCGTTGTCAACCTTGGCGGGGCGAGGCGATTTCATCAGGAAAACGTCACGGACTTGGACCCATACTTGGGCCCAAGTTCATGTACTTGGACTCAAGTCTATGTACTTGGCCTCAAGTCCGTGTACTTGGCCCCAAGTCCGTGTACTTGGCCCCAAGTCCGTGTACTTGGCCCTAAGTCCATGTACTTGGCCCCAAGTTCATGTACTTGGTCCCAAGTACACGGACTTGACCCAAGTCTATATACTTGGGGTACTTGGGGTACTTGTGCCACAACTTGAACTTTACATGTTGACTTCAGTATACTCAGGCCTCAATTTGAGCAATTGGTGTTCTATCAGTCACACATCTTGTATACTTCTTATGTAATAATATCTATCATAGACATCCATACACTAGTTGTAAACCAGTCTGTTTTAAGGCTGTAGAAGCAGCTTTATAGTCTATTAGAAGAAGGGCAATAACATGTGATAGAAGACTCTAAGTTGTTACAATGTGCTTGTTTCAGTAGTGATACAGAGGTACAATATCCAGATAATGCTCAAGAATAGTGGTATCAGTGGTGGATGTCCAAGTTCTGCTATGGTACAGGTGAGGA